AGCTCATACTGCTTTACCTTCTGCAGCTGGGCCTGCCGCTCATCAGTCTCCTTCTTCTGGCGGGCTGGAAAGGTGGCAGAGAATAAATTGCGTAGCCTGAAAGGACCTCGAGATGATTTGGGCTTTATGGGGCCTTCAGAGGTTGCTTGGGCTCCATCCAGGGTCGTTTCAAGCTTCCTAGAGGGCATGGTGCTCACCTGACGGCTGGCAGCCTGGGGCCTCAGTGGGCTCTGACCTCGAGGGTGGCAGCTGGGGCTCTGGCCTCGGGACTGGCTGATGGGACTGTGTCCCTGTGGCTGGAAGCTGGGGCTGTGGCCTCGTGGCTGGAAGCTGGGGCTGTGGCCTTGAGACTGGCAGCTGGGGCTCTGCAGAGCCATGGGGTAGCCAGCTCGGGAAAGCAGGCTGGTCTCCTCAAGCTTGCTGCTTTGGGGTGTGCTTTCCAGCTGCCCCTTCTCCCCTTGGCTGGAGACAGTGGCCTGCTTATGCAGGGAAGGTTTAACACCCTCTGGCCCACCCTTGCCTGCCATTGCCACTTCCCCTGTAGTTTGCTTGCCCACTGACTCTCTACTCGCTCTCAAATGATAGCTTTTGGGAGGGAAACTTTGAACAGGTAGCCTGTCCTTTTGTGGGGAGAGGTGCAGGCTGTCAGCCCGGCTGCCTGTGGGTGCTCTGGAGCTGGAAGAGACCTCTGGGCTCAGCTGCTGCTGGGAATTCCATGAGGTATCTGGAGCAGTGGGGCTCATTTTGAACTTAAGATTTTTATTGGCACTGCCACTCATCATGCTGACTTCTGGTCTTCCCATGCTGACCTCTGGCCTCCCTACGCCGGCCTCCAGCCTCCTTTCCCCACTGCTGGAAGGGTTCCCCAAGGCCCCTCCAGGGGCGGGTAGACTCTTAGTTTGAACCACCTGCTGTAGGGCAGCTGAGATGATAGCTGGGGTCACACTGCCCTTTGGGTCCAGGATAAGTTTGGGGCTCAACCTGACCTCCTTTGACAGGTTCTCCCTTAGCTCAGAGACCTGTTCTTCACTGAGGGACGGTGTGGCCGCCCTCAGTGACATTTCTAGGCCAGCCTTACTATAGCCAGGCCCTTTGTCCTCAGGAACTGGGGACAGCAGGCTCAGATTCTTCTGCTCACTAAGCTGTGGGGACAGTGCTGGGTGCACTGCCAGGGCGTATGTTCGCTCTCTCTGTGACTGGGCCTCTGACTGGGGCAGCTTCCTCCGAGCGCCAGGGGGGCCAGTACTCTGGCCTGTGACAGCTGGCTGGAGGGATGTGTTGGGATCCGGGCGCCCAAGAGAGTAAGGGGCTGTGAGAACAGCCTGGGCTGCGCAGCTCTGGATCCGGAAAGGCAGGTCCTTGCGGGCCAGAAGACTGTCTTTGTTGAGGTGCTGCGCCAGGAAGTAGGTAGTGTTCTGGTGCTGCTTCATGGCAGACATCATCTCCGACATGTCTGTGAGCTCTGAAGAATTGGTTTCATGGCCTGAGTCCAGCGATGATTCAGGGGTGATTGTGGCCAGCACAATCAGACCTGGAAGAACAGGGACAGGGCTTGCTGCACTTAACTCAGATCAAGTCCTTTCTCAATCATTTGTAGAGGGTTTATGGGGGCCAAGGTTAGCCAGCAGTACTGGAAGTTGGGGAAAACCAGTCAGGCCTGGGGGGACTGCAAGGCTAAGGGTGGGAGGAGTGGAATAGGGGGACAACAAGAGGCAAGCTGGGGAGGAGTTAGGAAGGACTAGAATTCAGAAGAGAACAAGAGGCACAGAGAAGATCTGGGCACTTTGATGGCAAATTAACATGCAAATCACATGCAAAGCAACATGCTAATCACTATTTTTTCCATAGCTAGGAAATTTTTGTTAATTGTCCTAAAGAGGGCTGGCAAAGAGAGGTCCCTCTCTATCTGACCCTTTTCATCTGTCCAGGCTTGCCTACAGTCCTTGAAGCTGAGGCCATTTAGCTGAGATTGTCCTCCCTCTGGCTACCACATGGGCCCACATCCTGGAAGCAGCTAATGCTTGGAGCTCCAGACCCTGAGCAAAGAGAAATGCCTGCTGTGGGGGCCAAACACATGGGAGCTGCCTGACACCAAAGACGCCCTCAAATACAGAAAAGGCAGGAAGTTGGTACTCTCTCTGGTCAGGCTCACTCTGACCCCAACTTCTTTACCTTCTCTGTCAAAACTTTCTCCCACCTCATGCGCTTTCTCATGTGCCTTACTCTTCCCTATTCCTTTCTGTTGCTGTATTACTGACCACTTCTTTTTAAGGTGTATATTTATGGAGGTATGTATGTGTGACTATGGGTGCACATCTGACACGTGTTGTCTACAAGATGGACATACATGTGTATAGAACAGAGAATAGCATGCATGTTGTATGGTTTTCCCACCAAATAATAATTAATAATAATAGTTACCACTTACTGAGTCCTTCCTATGTGCTAGGCAGTACTTAAGTGCTTTGCATGAATGGTCTCATTTAAACTGCACAACAACCCTATGTGATATGACTACTATTATCAAACCCATTTAAGATGACAAAAGCAAGTCTCAGAGAGGGTAAGTGCCTTGCCAAGGTCACACTGAAAATGAGTGAAGAAGCCAGGACTTGGGTGCATCTGATTGAGAGCCCATGATCTTAGGCAGAATAAAGACCTCTGCTTCGAGCAGTGAAGACTCCTGGCTCCCGTGATCCCAGGTTGCTAGGTGGTTACTGGGTTGTTTGGTTTTTCTTCCAGTCATGTGCATGCTGGAAGTTTTTTGCCTGTCTTCTACATCTCTCATAATTTTGCTTTGATCCTCCATCCTAGTCTGCCTCTATAGCTGTCATGTCCCCAATCCCTGGGGTCCATCTGCAAGACATTTTCAAGGATAGAATGGAGAGAGCTGGAGCTCCAGCTGGAGATGAGCAGCAGACCCCTACCATAGCGTCATTGCTCCATGACACTATCTGAACTGCCTCTGGCCCATCCACTGCTCTGACACACCACAGTGACTTTGATCTCTGTTTGGGAAGAAGCAATGTCACCTACTGGCCCTGCCTGGAAGAGGTGGGCAAGAGTGAGGAGAAATAGGCTGTTACCTGCAGTCTGTGGGGGTGGGGGGTGTGGTCCATCCTCTGAGGCTGCCAGGGCTTCCAGAGCCTGCAGAGTGGACACCAGGGCATCATCTAGCTCCTGGGCATGATCTCGGACAGTCCGTGTCTGCATGCTGTCAATCAACGTCACTGGAATCTCATCATACAGTAGCCCACGCAGGTGGCGTCCTTGTTCCTGGCTCTGGACAGCCCGGCGCTTGGAGTCATCCTCATCAGAACTGTTGTCTCGGAAGCCAGGAGGCGGGGCAGCAATGGCAGGCAACAGCGAAGTGCTCTCATCTTCCTCCTCCTCCTCCTCCTCACTCCCGGGAGGTGGAAGGGACATTAAGTCTACTATATTGTCACGAGAGGAACCAGGCCTCCCGCCTTTGCGAGGACCCAGCTGCTCCTGGAATTTGGCTTTGCAAGAGTCACAGTAGAAATTCAGGGCTTCAGCCCCAAGGGAATTGTCCAAGGTGTAAGATCTGGCCCTGCTGGCACAAGGCTCGTGGTCTAGGCTGGCTGCATCAAAGTCATCGGGGACCAAATTGTAACCTTGGCCAGAGCTTTTGGACGTGGGGTCAGATTTGGTCCGGGGCCTGGTCTCCTCAAAGAAGATTAAATTCTCATTGACATCTGTCCGGCTTTCCTGCTCCTTCCTTTGTTCCCGCATGTGGAGGTAGCAAAAGCTGACAAGCTCAGAGTCGGCAGGCGGGGGCGTGCAGTGGCTCGACTTCCTGGGGCTGGTGCCCATGCTGCCCACATAACTACTCTCCTTTTTCCCCAGGTGGCCCCCAGTGACAGGGCGGTGGGAGCTGTGCATGTAATCTAAACCCAGAAAGAGAATCAACAGATGAGCCCTGGTAATGAGGACTGTGGCCAAGCTCTCATGGTTTCTCTGGCCTGGATTTCTAGTGCATAGTTGGGTGGTAAGTACAGAGAGAGAGCATTACCTGACTGCTAGGGATTAGGGGAAGGGGAGTGAATTGCCCATGTTGCTGCTGACCCTGAAAGTAGAGTGCATAGAATAAAATGGCTTGAGTTGCTAATAGCCCCATCATCTCTGAAATGGGAAAAGACATGGGCTGAGGTGCGGTAGGGTTAAACCCTTGGTATCTGGGCACGGCTAGACTCTTACATGGATAGGTCTGATCTGAGAGTCACCTGTAAGCATACTTAAAGAAGTGATATTTGACCTAATGGATTTAATTGACATTTACAGAACATTTTACCCCAAAGCAGCAGAGTACACATTCTTCTCAAGTGCACATGGAACATTCTCAAAAACAGACCACATGTTAGGGCACAAGGCAATTCTCTACAAATATAAGAAGACTGAAATCATATCAAGCATCTTCTCGGATCACAATGCCATGAAACTAGAAATCAACCACTATAAAAAAACTCAAAAATATTCAAACATATGGAGGCTAAATAACATGTTATTAAACAATGAATGGGTTACCAATGAGATCAATGAAGAAATCAAACACTTCATGGAAAGTAACAAAAATGAACAGACAACAACCCAAAATCTATGGGACACGGCAAAAGCAGTCCTGAGAGGAAAATTCATAGCATTACAGGCCTATCTTAAGAAACAAGAAAAAGAT